GGCGGGGGGCGGCCGCTGGGAGGGGGCCGGGGCCGGGAAAGTTTCGCGGAGCGTCGGGCCCGCTCCCCCCTCGCCTCGTCCCCAGAGCCCGGGACGGCCGGGCCACTTCCAGGTCCCGGGGAGCTCGGGGCAGCGCGTCCCAGCCCTGCCGGGGTGCACCGATCGTGTCGGGAGTGCGGACAAGTCTCGTGGGCTGAAAAGAGAGTCTGCAAACCAGTCAGTCTGCAAACCAGTCTTCTTCTCGTGTCCTCCCCGTGCTGGCCGTGCCCTCCAGTGAGCACGAGAGCCCCAGGTCCTCCAAGTCAAAGCACTTCATTATTTCGAGGCAGGCCTCTGTGAAGTGCTGGCAGCGAACCCCCGCGTCGGCAAGAGCGACCTGGTTTTTGCATCGATGTGTGGCCTCCAAAACGATCGTGCGTGTTTTTTGAACACTTTTGCTGCGGCGGATCATACGAATCCGTGGATTCGTGCGTGCAAATTCACATGCGAATGCCTGCGGTGGATATGTATGTGTGTGCAAAGGGCTGAAGCGATTGTACAGATGGGATAATTGTTGGGTGCCTGGCAGCCCCCGTCTGTAGGGAGGGGATGTCCTGTGGGAAGGTTGGTTTGTCATGGCGGGGGCAGGGAAGGCCTGGAGCTGACGGGATGTCAGAGTTGAGAGAGCATGCAAATCCACGGGTGTTTGTACAAATGCATGCAATGGATACGTATGTACAAATACATGTGAGGGTTGAAATTGTACAAATAAGATAACTGTCAGACACCTGGCGCCCCCGCTTGGGCCTGAGATGTGACCCCGCAGCCCTGGTCTGTAGGGAGGGGACGTCCCGTAGGAAGGTTGGTTTGTCGTGTCAGGAGCATGACAGCGGCTGGGGGAGGCTTGGGGCTGGGGCTGACGGGATGTCGGAGTTAGGAGAAGCTGCTCGGGAAGGAGCCAGAGAGACTGGAAGTCGTGAGGGGGAGTAAAGCTGTTACTGTGCAATACCAGCCCAGGAGCTTCGTGCTCTGTTGTCATTTTTGTCTCTGGTTTTCACACTGTCGCTACATGGGAGCAAACCCAACATCGTCTAGGTCCTGGTACTGAAACGCTTCAGCCTTATGCAGTGGGACACGACTAGGACCTTGAAAACAGGATTTTTACTTCTTCAAACTTAACTGCTGGGGAGGCGGAGAAGTTGGAGGTGTCCCTGTCCTTGCCTTTCCTGGTTTCTGACTCCCTGAAATTGAGTCAAGTCCTGCAAGGTGCCCACCAAGTGCCCAGAACATCTTACAGTGGTGCTGCTGGAGTGCTGTTGTAGCAGTGATGGTCACCGCATTATGTTGGAGATGCGGGTCTAGTGCAGAAGTTCTGAACCGGGGATACATGTACCCCCTGGGGGTACATGAAGCCTCATCGGGGGGTACATGAGATATATTTCATACATTGTCTAACACAGGTCGACGGGCCTAAAAAAATTAATTTCCCATTGAAAGGGGGTACATGAAGTCTCACTCTGAGACCAAGGGTTATGTCAACTGAAAAAGGTTCAGAACCGCTGATCTAGTGGGTGATACCTTTTATTGCAATGTGCAGCTGATTCAATAAAAGACATCGCCCCCAAGAATCCTTGCCTTTGAACTTCATGCTGGCTTTCTGCTTTTAAGCTGGTTATTTTTTTGCCTGCTGATACTGAACTGTATTTTGAAATGGAGTGGTTGCTTTCTCCTACGTTATGTTTATGGCATCAATTTGAAATCTAATGAGTTTTTAAAAAGCAGTTGTAACTTTCTAGTGGTACTCCAGTCTTAACTTTTTTAAAGAAACACCTCTAATATGTGAGGATTGCTTCCACCCTCAGAAGGCCCCTGTCAAATAGGTGAGACCGACAATAGACAAAGCGCTGTTAAATGCACAAACTGAAGAGCAAAACTGTGTGTAATGATTTTTTTCAGATGAAACTTAATTGTTGCAATAATTGGCAACACACTCTTGGTTAGAAATGAGTCCTCCCAAGAGGAGAAGTAAAAACTGGGAATCGGAAGAGATGTTATTTATAAATCTCCTCATATGTTGCCTTTAAGTTGCTGCTGAGTTGTTTGCATTTCTTATAGTTGTAATGTTATGGCAAGGTTTTAGCTACACTGAATCAGAGAGGACAGACATACAATAAATCTGCACATTTTCAATTGTTCTAGTTGGTTAGCTTTTATATGAAAGAGATGTAATAATAAAAAAGTCACTTCAGTTGGTGGTGCTTACAGTTTACTCCCATCTAGAGTTAGGACTGAGGTTGCCATGTATATTTATACGTCTTTTCTTATGTATGGATGTCAAATTTCTTATAAAACTTGAAGAAAAATATTGCACAGTGATAAAATGTCTGAATTGAGTCTGTTTGTGGTTAATAGCTTGTGGGTCCTGTGGAGGTACATTACCTCCTGTATTCATGCAGGTGGTACTAGGTGCTAGTAGTAGCCTCTGATGTGATGCAACTGTCCTAGAGGTTACACCTCTCCCCTGTAATGCAGACCTCAGTGTATTGATCTGTGCCTCAGCTACCTATAATATAGTTACGTATTTTGGGGTTAAGTTTCAGTATAAGCTGAGGTCTGTGTGGTGCAGCTGCAAATCTTTGTGAGATGGGCCTTTAGTAATCTTTATGAAAGCTCTGTAGTGGTTCCTTTCTCATATCTGGAAGCTGTTCAAGATTTGGTGAGTGTAGTTAATATTTTGAATAGACTTGGATCTGGATATTTGAAACCTTCCTCTATGCCTCCAAATCCATGTTGTGACAGCAGTTAGCAGCTGCCAGAGTGCTCCTCCTAGAAGGCACAGAGAAGAGCTATCTAGGTTGAAGGGTAGGATGTTTTCTGTTGCAGGTTCTTGCCTTCTACTCATGGTGGTCTGCCAACCCTTGAGTTTGGTTTCCATCGGGACATAATTAAGGAAATGTTTTGATTAAATACTTATTTTCCTTTTTGTGTTGTGTTTTGGCTTGTGTAACTCACCTTTTCTGGCTAGCCTTCTAGTTGGTCATGATTTCAAAAGAGCATGTGCATTGTATGGACCAGGCACATAGTCACCTGCATGGACATGCATTAAACACATTGTTACCTCAGCTGCCATACAGGTTAGATAGTTGTGTGCAGTAGGGAGTAGCTGCCAGTTATCTGTCCCAAGCCAGTTTAGCAACACAGTTTCTTGCCCAAGGTTAGGGGAGGAGGATCATCTGTTAAGATGCTGGGGACGGGGGTGTTCTGCCATAGCACTTAGATATTGGTATGCCTAATTAAGCTCCATCATGTTTTTTTGATGCGTATGCTGTCATCTGGCTCCCTGATGGGCCAGAATGGTGTAGTACCTCTTCAAGAAAGAGAAGTAAGCGTCTGTCTGTCTGTCTGTCTGTCTGTCTGTCTGTCTGTCTGTCTGTCTGTCTGTCTGTCTGTCTGTCTGTCTTGGGGGTGGAGGGATGTTATTTCCCCAGTGGTTGTATTCTGTCGTATTTCCCCAATGAGTTTGCAGTGTTTGTGCATATGCAAAGTGTGCAATTTCTTTAAGATGGTACGACCCAGCTGACATACCTGCCATCCTGACTCTAGTACCTTTTTTTTAGGAACTGCTTCACTTTACTTTTCCAGTACTTTTTTTTTGCTACAGACATTTCCCATAACACCTTTTTTCTCCTGCTAACTGAAGCTAGACAAGTCCGTGTTTTATGGGGCCTCAGACTTCCCCCACTCAAGACATTTTTGGCATGGGGGGAAGAAGACCCTTGGCTATCAGAGGTGAAACTAGTGCCCTTTATCCTAGTAATAATTCTGAGGTAGAGACAAACTTTCTCCATCCTTCTTCCTGTTAATTCCAGCTTCTAAAGGGTATGGGGAAGCTTTTTCTTTTTTCCTTTTTTTTCCCCTCTTGACAGTCCTCACTAAGCATACCCATGTTAATAGACAACTTAATATGATGCAGTTCTGTTGGAATTAGTTCAAGCTGTTTGTGGTTTTAGGTGGACTTTTAGAGAGAGAATAAGTTACTAAAATCTCAGTGCCGCTGTAGTTTCTGATTACTAAAGCATGCAAATGTAAACATTACATTTGGTCCCTTCTTGCTTCTAGCTGTCCTCCTAGATTTTTGATCAAGCAAAGCAGAGTTCGACCTCCAACCTCTGCAGACAATGGTGTCAGATTCTGACGGGGTGTTCTTTTCACTGATCCTCCAGCTGCTGCAGATGCTGTTTTTCAACACAATTATTTTAAAAAGTCTCTCGTGGCAACTTTTGCAAGAATTGGGATGCTAGACCTGTCCTGGCAAAACTCCAGCTTGGGTAATTGCATTATGCCTCTTTATTGCTCCTTTCTTTCCCTCTGTGTTTATTAGAATGGGATGGCAGAATCTTATCCAATAAGTAAATACAAGTACATTAAATGTGTCTTGTACATGATACTTACAGCCTGCAAACCATGATCGTGAGAACTTTTGAGAATTGCTTGGAATTGGCAGGAAATGTGAATCTGCTTAAAGAAAGAGAAACATTCTTGGATGCTAAGACACCTCAGAGAGTTTGGTTGGGAATTGTCCCAGCTGCAGTCCAGGTTGCTATTATTAGGAATAACTGACTTTGCAGAACCAGCAGAGGGCAGTGTCTGCAGCCAGTATCTGAAGTGGGAGGAATACACGAAATTGGCTAGAATTGCATTCTTGTATTGCAGCAGTTTCCCCCCCAGTCAGTGTGTGTGTGTCCTGTGGGAACTGGAGATGCAGAAGTAGAACCGCTGTGCAGGTGTGTTGGAGCTGTCAAAAGAAAAGAAACTTGAGATGCAACAGAAAAGAAAGACTAGAAGAGAGAGAGTCCTAATGCTGCTGCTTGTATCTAAAAGGTAGAAAAGTTCTTCTCTATTGTCCCTCCTCCAACAGAAAGATGTAGGTTAGGTCACTCTCTAAACGAAAGATATAAGCAAGTGTTTTGTATAAGTAATTTTATTAACTTCCAATTTCATTTGATTTCTCTCATTTGAACCATTGTGATAGGAGTATTGCAATTTATTGTAGCCTGCAGCCTTCGGTATTTAGGATGAGATGTCAGACCACATATTGTACAATAGTGTAGTACCCTTGCTGTAAGCCAAAACTAAAGCACAGATTCCTGGGCATGACTTAACTCTTTCATTGCTGCATCTTTTCATTATTTATAGGCTACATCTGTTATGTAATTCTACTTTCATCAGGTTTTTAAAATGTACTCTCCACAAATCCCTCGGCATACACAAAATTACAGTGCAAGTATTAAATGCAAAGCCACACTGGGTGTCTGAAGCAGATTCTCTCCTGAGCACCGATATCATTTACGGACAAAAGTCTGAATAAACATGTTTTATAAAAGCTACGTATTTTTTTAAGAACTTTTCCATTTGAGTTAGTTAAATGGGACAACTTAATGAAGCACGTGGCTTTATGGAAAAGAGGTTGTGCCTGCTTTGTGAAATTGGTAATGACAATTGCTTGGTACTTGGTACTTCAGGAGCTTGTATATTCAATAGGCCTGAGCTTGCAGAGGATGGCTAAAATCGTAGATTTAAAATCCTGTCTTGAAAAATTTCCCTGAGTGCATTAACTCTCTCTGAAGCCACGTACACACAATCCATTTCTACTGGGAGAATCACAACTCTCCTGATAGAAACCAAAATTGTCCAGACATTCCAGCTCTCTCCCAGAGGAAAAATGGTGGTTCCAGTAGAAGAATAACCCGACCTCCCACCAGTTAGAAGTTGCTCGCAGGAGAGTTTCTCCTAGGAGAATGATCTGCATGATCTGGGGAAGGTGGAAGGAGCAGGGGACGGGGCAGTTGGAGTCTCCTTCTGAAATCATTTCTCCTGATAGAAATTTTCCACCAGGAGAAATGAATGCTTATATGCAGCCTGTGTAATTTGGCAAAAAAAGGCTGGCATAAACTGCATGCTTCAGGAAATAAAATGTAAGCCATTAGCGGTAAGAAGTTAGAAATCTGTTGGAATGTTGAGGAAGAAACCCTGCTTTCCTATTGGTTAGTGTGCTCATCTGTTAACAATCCTGCTAATATGCAGAGCACTGTATCCATGGCAATGTGCTGTTCAACTTCTAACTTAATTTTCATGCAAACACAAGGTAATAACTGATTTTGTATCTCTCTGGCTTATAATAGTAAGAATGGCTATTGTAGATAAGACATTTCCTCTCAGTTGGCCTTGTTTTGGTGTAAAGTTGGGGTCGACGTTAGGCACCCTCAGCTGTCAGGAAGTGCGGTATCCCCGGTTGTCATTGTTTGCAATAAACTGGTGAATTGCTACCTAAGAAACATCTGTGCAGTTTACACTGCATCAGAAGTAGTAGTTTGAAAGCAGTTCTTAGTGGGGCCAATATGTGTGGAGGGGCTGCAGGGACTCAATAGGCATGAAAACCAAATTCGCCTGTAAGAAAAGTTACTACCACATCAGGGTTTAGGCATGTTGCTGGGAAAGAGGAGAGAACCATGAATTGAAAAAGGTCAGCAGAGGGAAACCAAGATTTGGATGAGAATGGGAAGCAAAATCTTTAGGCATGCAGAGTAGGGATGATGCAAGCAAATGAGATGACTGGGCCAGCAGATGGCAAATGCAAAATAAGTACATTTTCAGTGGGGCAATCATCTAGAACGCTGATCAGGAGAAGGATTTGAGGGATTACCATGGAGAAACCTTAAAGCGGTCAGCCAAGAGGCTGGTCTAATATAAGAAAGAAGAGTCAGATATAGTCATTAAATATTGCTCTTGCTCTATTTAGTTAGTGAATACAGTAACTTTGCAATAGATTTAGTTTTTGGAAAATCTCAGAGGCAAAAGTTTGCTTAAAGTTTCTTTCCTTGATCCTGTCCCACTTCATTGTCTGAATCCATACTTAAATGATAAAATCCCTTCCCTTATTCTGTTCTCTTGCTTTGTCTATCAGTGCCTACCTACCAATTTATATTTACTGGGTATTGAGAAATCATGCAAATGGTGAAAAAAAGGTTCCTCAGCTTGGGACTGGATTGTCTTTCTGGCATGGCCACAGCCTTTCTGTCTTAGCTTGAATGGATTGAATACCCTCATGCTTTATTTTCTCCCTCTGTAAAATGGAGATATTACCTGTCTCCCAAGGATGATGTTCAGAATACTTCACATAGGTAAGATGCTTAGAAATCTAGTGAAATCTGTAAGTTCTGAGTATTATTTCTATTGTGTATATATAACATGCTAGTTTTATGATCTTCAAGGAGTGGCCTTTTAATATGGTGCCTTGAGGTTGTTTTGATGTCACAGACTTATTTCTGATTCTTTGTGATGCCAGTGTCCCATCTGCTTATGGCAGCTGCTAAGGAATGACCACTTAGGCAAATGATTGGTCTTTAGGATTTTCCCACTTCAGTAATTGCAGATGTGTGGGAGACAGATGCAGGCAGTGTTGTGGATAATCACAGTATCTGATTGTGTTCAGCAGTTAACTCAAAGAGGGAAAAGTATTGCAGCACAGCACTAGCTAATCAGACACAGAACCTGAAAAGTTTCTTGCCCTGCTATACGTTGGGACTGACTCCACTGAGCTCAGCCAAATCAAAACCAAGATAAAAGAGGCCTGCTGGCTTCTGCTACATGAAATTAAGGAGAATGGATCTGAACGGGACCTTGATGTCTTCTGCCAAAAAATTGCATCATCAGTTCATTGTGCAATACATGCACTGGTACTTTGGCACTCGCCTATTTAGCAGGAGCCTGCTCTGTGACACTTGTGAAATCCTTTCAGCTGAGAGTTGTCTTGTAAAAAAATGCAAGACTTGCAATAAAATAGACATAGGCAGGTCTCCTTTTGTACATTTCTGAATGCCTTCATTGGCATCTTTGAAAACTGCTTCCTTTGCAGCAATGAATTTTAGAGGTATGTACTTCCACTTCACCTCAGGCTAGTGTCAGAAAAACCCCCCTGTACCGAGACAGACTTCTTTCCTTGCATGCAGCACTAACATACTAGTTACCTTTCTATTTTAACAATTTGTATGGCCCCTTTAACATAGTAATGGAGCATCTCAATCCTTAGTGTACTTATTCTTTCCAAGTTTTAGACCAGTAACATTGGGCTCTTCTTTTTCTCTGAATCCAGATTTCTTAGGTGTATGATTTGCTCACTGCAGCTAAATTCAAGTTGTCAGTGAATTGGCTGCAGCCCTTTGGGATGCATTCATTCACATATGTAATCTGGTTGGCTTCCAATACTCTCAGCATCAGACTTAGTGAACTCTGCAAAGATGTCAGCCGAAGGAGACAAGACTGAGTCGTCTCATAACCCTTGAGTGAATTTTGAGAGAGGATTTTCTTTCTGTATGTAATAGTACCAAATAGTGTCTGCTTCTGGGTGAAGAACTTGTCAGTGTTGAGTAATTAATTAGCTATTCTATAGGTGATACGTTGGTGCAAACAGAGGAGGTGGACTTAACTGCAGGCTGAACTGAAGTTCCACAAACACCTTGCAGTCAAAACCTGTGTTTCCAAAAATCGTTATACTCATTCAGTTTTCCTTCCTTTGTTTTTTTTCAATGGTTCTGTTTCAGACTGAGCATTCTTCACGGTCAGAAAGAAAGCGACGTGACTCATTCGGGATGTTTGACGGGTATGATAGTTGCAGTGAGGATACTAGCAGCAGCTCGAGCTCTGATGAGAGTGAAGAGGAAGTTGCTCCATTGCCATCCAGTCTCCCAATTATCAAAAATAATGGACAGGTCTACACTTACCCAGATGGTAAATCTGGCATGGGTGAGTGCAGAGCTTCTCAGGTATTTAGTTCGTGGATTTTCAATCCAGTTGCTCTTAGGTGACCATATCTTGTGCTTTGTTTCTGTCAGTCCAAGTTGGCAGTTGTCTGTGTCCAAGGCTAAATATACAAGGAGAAAACATTTAATGCTCATGTGAAATGTGTCAGTGTGAGAACAAGGCAGAATCAACTGAAAGTTTTTATTGCTGGCAGACTGAAACAAGATATAGCTCCTATTCAGCTCTCAAGAAATGTAAAATTCCTATGCAAATAGATGGGATTTGTGCCTTATTGGTCAGCTTCTATTTCACCTATTAAGCACATAAGTGGACTTATGGTGCTTAAGTGCAGCACTAATTCATCCTGCTTAATTTCCTGAAAATCAGTTAATGCATCCGTCTCCTCCTTTCTGCTTTTTTGGACTCAGTCTTAAGTCTTGACTCAGTCTTGTGTGTTGCGAGAGTATAAATTGATTTTCAGGACTTGAACAGGGTAGAACAGGATCTCACTTAGATGCCTTTAGGAAGTATAGCCAGAGTTCCTTTACATTATATATCAGTTTGCAGTGCATCACAGATTTTTGTTGCTGTTGTTTTTTTTATGGTAGTAAATATTCTTTACCACTGTTAAATAACCTTGCCAGTATGTAACTGTTTACCTTCCCCCCCCCCGCCCCATGCCTCACAG